TTGGATTTGAATAACTGTGATTAGAATTTTAAGGCTTTTATCCAGAAGTTAGCCCTGAGGGGAATGCATTTGAGGCAGATGACAAGTTCCTATCCTGCACCTGATTTGGACCCTGCCTCCCAACCCCCCAAATCTGACACCGGAGGGGAAGGAGAAGGGCTCAGAAGTGACTGTGTGGGAGCAAGGTGACCCTTTGGCAGGGTGTCGTGGTGTCCTGGCCGGTGCCTGGGGTGCTGGCCTGAAGGGAGAGGAGACAGCAGGGGTGGCAGGCCCAGGGGCCCAGCGGCTAGCTGGGGCCCCCCGTCTGCCTCTCTGGGTAGAAAATGAAGCCTGCTGACTGCCCGTGTAGTGAGAGGACACGAAGGAGGCTTGTCCCCCAGCAGAGAGCGTTCCAGCCACACCACACCCCGCACTGAGGGCTCCGGCACCCGCAGACCCCTCCCTCCAGCTCTGTGGATGCAAGGGGGCGTTGTCACAGGTCCATTGTCTGAAGTGAGGGCCACTGCAGGGTTAAGAATTGTCCCTCAGGTGTGCTGAGAACATGGGCCCAAGGTGTCCGGGGTGAAGTTCAGCCTGCGTGGCTCAGTCCAGTGCTTCCTCTGGCAGCGGAGGGGGGGGGGTCTCTGCCTGGTGTGAGGCAGGTGAGGACAGGAGGTGCGGAAAGCAGTGTCGTCCCGGCCACGAGCACGACGGGGAAGCCCAGTGGTGCCCAGCTCTGTGTTTGGCATCCTGGTTGTCCCGGGGACATTATTCCACACAGGCTCACTCCTCGGCCAGCCCCGCCCTCCTCAGTGGACTTGTCCCCCAGGGGACAGTCACACCAGGTGCTCCGGGTGCTGGCCTGAGGACATGTGTGTGTATCTTGAGTCTGAATTTAGGTCCCAAAGCCTCTGTGTCTGTGATGAGACGAGTGGTGCAAAGCGGGAACACCGCTCAGCCTAGAGCCGCGCACGGCGGGCGCGTGTGCTGCCGGCGCCTCTGCCGTAGGCTTATTCCTTTGCTGACTGGGCTCTGTCTCCGCTGAGTTGGCCTCTGCCCTCGCTGCCCTGACACCCCCCACCCCACCATCCTGTGCTTCATGACGGGCCATAGGGACTGCTCGAGAAGGCTCAACACATTTACCTCGTTTCCTTTCTTTCAGAGAGCAAAAAGGAAAAGTTTCCACAAGCCTCCCCCCACATCACCAAGTAAGTATGGCCAGGGCCCCCCGTCCCTCGGGTTTCCAGTTTCACTCAGAAAATGGTTTTGAGAGGCTGTGACCAGGGAGACAGCATGGCTGGGTTCCTGTGAGGACTCACTTTGTGCTATGTCCTCACATGGTGGGAGGGGCGAGACAGCTCCGTGGGGTCCCTTTTAGGAGGGGACGAATCCCATTCGAAGTGCTCCACCCTCTTGACCTGGTCACCTCCCAAAGAACCCCAGTGCTATCCTAGTGGGGTTAGGCTTCAGCATAGGAATTTAGGGGGCCATGTACATTCAGTCCACAGCGGATGGCCCCCCAGGCCTCTCTGTGTCTGCTGTCCTAACACTGCTCCAGGTACACAGGATCCATGTGTGAATTTTATGCTTACAAAAGTCTGTATGACAAACTAAATCCTTTTGCTACCCAAAAACCTGTGACCTTCCTTGACCATTATGTATGTATATTTAAAATACCTCGTATTTCAGACACGTTGTGGGCTATGCGACACACTTAGAGAACACTAGTGAACTTTCATATTAGCCTAAGAAAAACATAATTAGAAAGATAAACTTGCAAAGAAAAGAAAAGTATATTTTGTATCACAAGTGAATATGAACATTACAAAGAAATCATCTAGAAATTTGGAGTTTTGATTCCTTCCTCTCCTTCCACGGAGAAAATTGAGAGCTGACGTAAAGGGGAGAGTGCGGTGTCCGTGTTTTAAAACTTCTCGTCTTAGAGCCGTGTTGTTTACGTCATTTTTGGCTAGAAGGTGCCTAAAGTAAAATATTTGACCGTCTTTCATTGTCCTTACTGAAAGTGAAACATTTCNGAGCCTTGCTCACCTGAGATAAACCCCACTTGGTCATGGTGTACATGTAGTTCTTTTTATATTGTTGGATTCAACTTGGTAATACTGTGGTGAGGCTTTTTATATCTACGTTCATGAGAGGTAACGTCTTTGCCTGGATTTGGTATTGGGGTGACGCTGGCCTCACGGAATGAGTCAGGAAATATTCCCTCTGCTTCTATCTTCTGGAAGAGCTTGGAGAGAATTGCTATCATTTCTTCCTTAAACGTTTGGTAGACTCCACCAGTGAACCCACCTCGGCATCCTGCTTTCTGTTTTGGAAGGTTAATTATTGATTAAATTTCTCTGATAGAAACAGGTATTCAAATTATGTTTCTTGTGCGAGTGCTGACAGATTGCGTCAAGGACCTGGTCCCTGTCAGCTGTCACCTCTGTGGGCATACAGTTGTTCACGGCATTTATTATCCTTTCAGTGTCCACGGGAACTGTAATGATGGCCCCGCTTTCATTTCAGATTTTAGTAATTTGTGTCTTTTTTTCTTAGCCTGGCCACAGGCTTATCAATTTTATTGATCTCTTCAAAGAATCAGCTTTTGGTTTAGATGATTTTCTCTCTTAATTTCATTTTCTACTTAACTGATTTCTGCTCTAATTTTTATTATTTTTCTTTTGCTTCCTTTGAATTTAATTTGCTCTTCTTTTTCCAGCTTCCTAAAGTAGAAGCTTATTGATGTTAGATTTCTTTTCTAATATAGGCATTCAATGCTGTACGTTTCCCCTAAGCACTGCTTCTGCTACAGCCCACAAATTTTGATGTTGTATTTTCATTTAGTTTAAATATTTTTAAATTTCTCTTTCTTCTTTAACTGTGCTGGGCGGTTTAAAACGTTAGGACGCTTGCCTCTGAGGGGCAGATGGCATCCCAGTTTTGCAGACAGGGATCAGGTTCCGAGAGGAAATGAGTGGTCTAGGACCACAGCCCAGAACGGCCAAGCCAGCAGCGGTGCACCTGCTTGGTCCCCAAGGACGGGCCTGGATCTCAGCTCCCCCAGACGTTACCACTGGCAGCTCTACCTGCCTGATCACAATGGTGATCACGCAGACTCGGGGGGGACGATGGGGATTCAGAGGTTGGAACCCTGACCTTGGCTAGACCTGGGGTCACGATCACGAGGGGCTAGGGTCTAAGGCCAGATGCTCTCCAGCCTCAGCTATTTGCTTTCTGACCTTTGGTCATTCCTGGGGCACAGTGGGGTCCAAGCGGAGACCCCCACCTCCATACCCAGGAAGCACGTGGCTGTCCTACAGAAAGAGCCCTCCTCAGTCACTTCCGCAAGCCCCCACCAGGCCTGGGGCCCACTCCTGGGCAACCTGAGAGCACGGCGCTGACTCCGTGGTGATGTCAATCACTTTTAGTAGAAAAAGCTACTTTAATAATACATCAAAATGTGTGACTCTGACCTTGCTGCTCTCACCTGTCTGGCTTTCCTGCGGATCCCTGGTGCAGCCAGGCCGAGCTGGAGCCCTTGGGACCTGAGGAAGGGACAAGGCTCAGCAGCAGGGGCCCAGGAGGTCGCCACTGGGCTGCCTCAGTAGCAGTCAGCCTCATTCTCCCCCAGGATGCCCACGGTGGCCAGCATGTCCTGCAGGAGTGACCGAGGGCTCTTCTCCACGTGGTCACTGCTCTCAGCCAGCGCACCCCGAAGGCCCTCCAGGTCCATGGACCTCAGCACGGCCATCACGGCCTTGGGCTCCAGGTCCTCCAGGGCCTGGCCCTGCTGGCCTGCCCGCCACCTCTGCAGGGCAGCCTCCGTGGAGGCCATGTCGGGGCTGCTCCCCATCTCCTGCGGGCTGCCGCACGGAGCAGCCCTGGCCCTCAAGAAGAGGAGCAGGTCACAGGACTTCTGGGCCACGGGTCGGTCACAGTCAAACAAGGCTCGAAAGGCAAACTCGAAGAGCCGCACTCGGCAGAGCGCCTGCAGGGCCTCGTCCAGCCGGCCAGGCGGGGCCACCTCGGGCGGGTTCGCAGCATAGGGACAGTGGGCGGTGGGCTGGCCCAGCGTCTGAGCCAGGAACACCAGCGCCAGCTCCAGGCCCTGGGCCCGGACCTCCCAGTCCAGGTCCTGGCTCGCCACCTGGAGCACCCTGGCCACAAACTGCTCCGGATCCTCAGCCACTTCAGCATGGCCGTCCCTCAGCCACTCGGTGAAGACCTGCATGACGGCCCTCCGGGGGAAGCCCTCCGAGTCGGTGGAGAGGACGTGCAGAAGGTCCAGCAGCAGACTCTTCTGGGGCACAGAGAGGAGGCGGGAGGGCAGGCTCCTGTGACTCGGGGCACAGCAGGGGGAGCTCCCCCCCCCAACAACCCGCCTGCAGGCAACTTGCCCGACAGAGCCCTCCAAGAGCCGACTATCCAATGGGGGTGACCACGCCCAATGACAGGGGCGCTGGAAGGCTGAGTGGAAGATTCAGGAATGTGCCTCACACAGCCCTGACCCCAGACGCCCACCCAGAACGGCTGTAGGGGAGGGCCTGCCTGCATGGCCATGCCGCCTACCTGCTGGCCTCCTGGGTGCTCAGAGCTGGTGGGGGTGGCACACAGCCCCTGGCTAGAGAGCTGCCCCATGGCAGTCACTGCACTGGCACGGACATAACTCTCAGGATCTCGCAGGAGCTGCTCGGCGAGCTTGGGCACCTCTGAAGCCACGAGTATGTGTCTGAAGCCAGCCTGCCCTGGGGNACACGGAATACAGAAAATGACATATAGTCAATAAAATCAACATGTTCCGTGTGGAAAACACCCACTATAATGGTAAGGGAGAAAAGGCATGACACTGAATTGTACTATAGTGCAACCCCGTTTTTATAAGAAAAACACAGCTTTGTGACATGTTAGGAAAGAAGGCCGGAAGGAAATAAAAATGATGGTGGTTTAATTTTCCTCTTTACTCCTTTGTGTTGTTCAAGTTCTACTTAAATATATGTATTACTTTCATAATCAGAGAGAAAACAAAACCGATTTCTTAACAAAGAAACAAAAAAAAAAACGCATTGAGAACAAAACACAAGTTTGTCACGTGCTCTGAGCCACCTAGCAGGCACTCAACAACAGGAAGCCTGAATCGGGGCTGGAAGAGGCTAAGAGCTTCAAGCTCTGCTCCCCTGGTCACGCCCTCAGGCTTCAGCTGACGGGTCCCCATCAGCCAGGGCGAGTGTTTACAATGTGAAGGAAGTGACCAGATATACATCCCTTCCCAGGACAGGGGAGCCCTGCGCACCGCACCCTCTGGCCTCTGTTGAAGTCGACTGCAGCACCCTCATTCTTACCTGCTTCAGTTACCGTTTTAAACCAGTCCAGCAGCTTTTCCAAACAGGTGTCATCTGCCACGGGCTGCCTGGGGTCCGCCAGCACAGCACAGAGAGCCGGGAGGAGCTTGGAGCACTCGGGGTCCATGATGACACCGTAGGTTCCTGCAAAGGAAATGTCAGGGCCAGACCCCACCTCCACACCTCACAAGCAGCCCGCTTGCCTGCTCAGGCCCTGGGGCTGTACGACCGGGATCTTCAGCGCACCGCAGGGCTGGATTGGATGCAAAGCCTCGGCCTGGGTGGGGCTGGAGCACCAGGGCCCTGAGTCCTGGAGGCGCCACAGGGCTGGGAGGGAGCACGGCCTAAGCCACGAAGCCTTCGGAGCTTAAAGCTGCCAACCTGGGGCTCCGGTGGGAGGGGAAGAGCAAGATGCTCACCTAGGCTGCGGGTGGGCCGGTCAGGGGTGGGAGTGCGTGCTGGAGCAGCCACGTGTACAGGGGAAGCGCGTCTCAGTCAGGTTGGAAGTGTCTGTCTGTCCCTCCCGCGGTCAGTGCGTCTGCACCAGGCTGCGGCGCGTACCTGCGCGTTCAGCCTGGGAGGGGCCGGGGGGTGCCCTCGTGTAAACGTATTGACACGCGCTCCAAGTGGAACAAGTAAATTATATAAACAGCCTGTCAGTGGTGAGGGAGGGCTCTCGGGCGGGGGGTGGGGGTGGCCAGCGGCTCCGTCGGGGTCAGGAGTAGGTCGGCCTGGGCCTGGGCCGGGGCGTCAGTCGGCCCATTCCGGGAGAGGCTAGGTCCCTGCGGAAGGAGCCCTCACTGCAGTTCGGCGTCAGTTTAGGCCTGTGGAACCCTCCGCGGGCGCCGGGCCCGGGGCACCCGGAG